GTAAAATGACCATAACTCGAGAAGAAAGGCCCATGGGCCCTTGTCCTTTTGGGCTTTTTCTAATCTCATTGGACTCTACTTATGGGCAAAATATCGGCTTAAAAGCTTTGAATCACTTCGAGCGGTTCCCTCGTTAGCAATATGTTGTCTTTTCATTATTCATTTTTTAATTATAATAGTTATTCTCCTTGGAATTGAAAACAGTTTATTTCGAAAGACAAAAAAAAAAAGTAACACAATGCAACAGTCTCACATTAAACATAACTATAACATATGTCGCATCCGTTGTAATTTTCAACACAGTAAATTTCGATACATTTTGAAAATGTGTTTTGATTCATTCTTCAGCGCATTTGTCATTTTTTCTGTAAAAGTAAATGATTACTATTGCTTTAGTTTAGTTCGAGTAAGTAATATTTATTCTTATAGCTCTAGGTCGTCAAATCTTCAGATGGAACCATCTCACGATTGTTTGATTTTAATCAGACTCCGTTATGACAGTCCTTTCTCGATTATCCATCCATCTCTTAACATATTCTTGATCAGTAATTACTCGAGAAATAATTTAGACAAAAAGATGCATAATATAACACATTTTATTGTAGTATGTTGTTTTGTCATTTCATTCAGACGTTCTCTTCTCATTACATTATCAGCACCACGTAGAGTCAGCTAAAACTACTTTTTCGTATCGAAACGTTGCTTACGCATTTCGAATGTCAAATTCGTTTATCTCAAAGATCGAAAAATGCCAAAGAAATCTACGAAAAAAAAAATTCTACAAAAATCTAATTTTGAACGCGTGATTTCTTTTTAGCTCGAATATTTTTTGCTAGACTTTAAACGAATATTTTCAAACTTGTTGAAACGCATTTTTTGAGATCTGTTTTATTAGTACGTAATGCATTTTTTTGTGCAGAGCTTTGCTTCTATTCGTTTATTCTACCCTTACCTCTATCGATATATAAGACTATAAATGTAAAGATAAAAGAATAAGGATATAGATAGAATAGGAATATTTTAACTTGTCTGTAAGAAAAGGTCATTTTTTTAATGAGAAAATATAGTTTAAAAATTAGATTCTAACAAATGTGGAAAAAACGCATTTGTTCAGGCAAATAACGCTAAAAATCACGTTTGAATACATAAAAAAATAAATACTTCCAAACGCATACAAGAAAACGTGTTCGAACGATAGTTTCAATGGTGTTTATTGGATATAAGAGATGCATCTCTTATAAAAGTGTTTAAGCATTATTTTTACGTGCCGTTTTAAACTGGAAAAAAATGAGTTGCAATAAAAGGTAACGCGTTCTAACGCAAAAAATAGCGTTTTTCCTTGAAAGTTGCTGTTGAAACGCTGATTCATACGAATTTCTTTTCATAGGAAGTACAGCCATTTTGAGTGATTGCCATCTTTTTTTTTCTCTTTTCTATTTTGTGTTCGTCGTTGGTTTCTCTTTCAGTGATCTTTCTGTCTCTCTCTCTCTCTCTTTATAAAGCAGCACATTGAATACAAATTTATCGCTGCTTATTTGTACATAGTGTGAGTATAGGTATTTGACTGAAGAGAACATCAACAGCAACAGTCATATTCAGACCTACGTTCTCAAGAAACGTCTTCATTGTCACATTGAAAGAAGTCAAATAAATGCTTAGTCACTCTTCGGTAGTTTCATTGCAATCAATACTCACAATTTTTATCACATTACTTTATAAAATAAGTGATTGCTGTTGACTACGAGTATTACATGTAGCTGCGTAATACATCTGGTTCGCATTTTATCTCGACTCATTTGCTGTGTGGGCAGATTTTATACGTTCTTCCAATAAGCAGAAGTCGTAAAAAGAGAAAAAAAGACATTTATAGCATACAGATTGTATACTCAATAAAGGTTGCGTCGTTTTCTAATAAGAGATTCGTCTATACTCTATTATAAATAAAACTATCAAAAGTTCTTGATAGAAATTATTACAATTTCTTTCTCTTGCGTGTCTTCATTACATTGTCAGCACTTTCGTCTCATATGAACTCTAAACCTTTTTTTTTCCTTAAAATATCATAGCTAGAAATACAATACAGCTGAAGTTCAAATAGTCCTCATTTCATGGTAAAACAACAACTTATTTTGGATACTGAAACCATTTGATAAACATTTTGACGTAAGACTTTACATATTTCTCGGTCTATTTTTGTTATTGTAACGTGAAACTGAGATTTATTTGTTCGTCAGGTCTTCTAAAAGTGCAACATAAGTGAAACAGCTTGATTGTTCAGGCCTTCGTCAGCTTCGGTTTCTTATCGAGTGATTGAAACTCAAAGCAGTCTGTGGTTTTTTCAGCTGCTTATGAATTTATATATTTAGAAAACTAATTTTCATAAGTGACAAAACTCTTAGAACTGTTGTATATGTTCACAGCGTAACTTCCTTTAGTCATAAAGCAAAAAATAGGTCTATTCATCCTGTAAAATCTTTTTTCTTCCGGCATTGCTCGGCTCACCAATCACCATAAATATTTACTTTCATGGAAACTTTGACCTTGCAATTAAAATAGTGTTCAGAATTTGTTCTCTTTTGTAGATGTATGTTTCTGAATAGTTGAACCCGTTCGTTTAAACTCGAAGACGTGCAGTGGATCGACGATATCCATAGAAAGTTCGTTTACCATCAATGAGTAGTAACTACTTAGTTATGATCATGGCCTATTTGTATTCGTTTGCGACAAGTATAGACACAAATAAACGAATAAGATCGATTGTACAAGTAAAAGTTAAAATTTCGTTGAAAATTAAAGTCTGACAATACAACTACTTTCTATCATGTTTCTAGAAGTTTTGAATATCATATTGGAATCTTTTTTGGGTGAATTACTCATAATTCGAGTTGTGTTCATTGGTGCACAGGTTTCCTTGGCGATAATAATCTTATCCATTCGTCGACCTAAAACAAATCTTTTGTTCAATTGAACCTCTGTTCTACCAGTGATCAACTTAGGCTATACATTTTTTTTTTGATAATTTTCTTTCACCACAAGCACGACTATGCATGTGTTACTCTGCTTGTAACAAATACTTCTGGTTAAACTTGATCTCTTCGGCGCAGAGACGAGTGTTCTTTTTTGAATTTCTACATGAACTGATTGCATACGATGAAAGTTAATGATCCGTTGTTAGAGTGTTTAAATGTTACCTTCCTATTCATTTCGACTGATGGTTAAACCTTTTTTTATTCATTTATATGCCTCTTTCGTCAATGTATCCATTAAATAATGTGGATAAATGGGCGGCTGAATGCATCGAAAATGAAGTAAAAACGAATACAAAACTAAGAGCTTTGTTCTTATGCTTCAATGCTCCTACTCCTACTTGTGAGTTTCTTTATCTTGTGTCAGTGCGTTTAATAATATTTCTTTTTGCATAATTTTTTTACCATTTCATCAATATTTGCTAAAGAACAATGAAATAAAAGCCGTCAAAATGTTCGGCTTCTATGCAGGAAAAGAGAGCAGTTCTCTCATACATGGCTTGTGTGCAACATGCAAAAAAATGCCTTCAATGACAGAGTGATGCAAAATGAGAAGGATTTCAATATCGCATATTCCATGATTCAGCAGCGAGTAAAAACATGTCTAGTAATAACGAGAATAAATCAACAGTGTCTTAATTCTTTTCACTACAAACCATCGGTATGGGTAGTACTTTCATGCTCTCTTTTGCTGTGTTCAGAAAAACAATTCTGTTATATATGAAAACGACAAAAAAAATTCATAAATGTTTTTCGTAATAAAGCCAAAAAGTAGCAGAATAGTTGAAGTTCATAGTATTACTACTAAAACGAGCACTGTTTGGTTTTTATTTTATGGTTTTTCTAAGTAAAACCTATCAATAAACAAATGAGAAACATTGAAGGTCCAACAATAGATTGATTCACACGGACTTTATGCGTTGAATACGAAACTTCAGTTGATCATCTTCTGAAGCAAGGCGATCACGATGATAATTAAACCACGACATTTTCTGTATGTACTTATAATATCTATTTCTTTCACTTCAGTATTTTCTCTGTTGATCGGTCATCATTGATAAATGCAACTTCCATCTGCATCGTTGGTGATCCTATTTTTGGTGCTCATTATCGTATCAATTATACTTTTCTGGGGTGAACAATCATGCTCAAAAATATCTTCAATCTTTTCCGGTAATTGTCATTTATCATTAAGCGAAAGTGATGATTTCATATGTGAACCGGACAATGTTTGGAATGAACGCAAAAATGTCTATCGAGCACAAGACAAAGAAAACATGATGAAACGCCAGAGCAACATTTTTTTTCTCACGAATTGGGAGCCTAATTTTCATTGTTCTCATGCAAGACGAGTCGGTCGAATGGGTGATGGTGGCAAATGGGTATGTGATCCTTATCGATTGAAATCTCGATTGGATTGTTTGGTGTACAGTGTTGGATCCAATGGTGATTTCAGCTTCGAAGTCGATATGAAAAAAACAATGCCACATTGTGAAATTCATACTTTCGATCAAAATCGATACGTTTGTCCGAAAGATATTTGTATATTTCATCAAATTACTTTCGGCAATGGCACTCATCCACCAGGTTCCAAAAGTTGGACAACCATCATCCAAGAATTGAATCATGTTCAACGAAAAATTAATGTATTAAAAATTGATATTGAAGGCGGTGAATACTTTTTCTTTCCTCTTCTTATGCAAGCATCGGCAAATTCTCTGCCACAACAAATTCTCGTCGAACTTCATCCGATTGATCCCAACATGATTCATGGATTTTTTGAACTCTTACGAGAACGTCACTATGTTATTTTCAACAAGGAACCGAATCTCATCGCTGGACATCGATATTTCGAATATGCCTTCTTAAAATTGAATCCACTTTTTTTCAAATCTTTACCAGCAAGTTCTGGAACTAAGTAGAATAAGATAGTTAGAAATGAATCAAATGCAGGATGAACTGAACTCGCGTCCGTAGTTCATCCTCTATCGCTGTTATATGAAAACAATTTTCAATAGATGTTTATTTGTGATTGAATTAAATTATTTTAAATTCAAACATTATTTTGTAATTTTTTTTGCTTCTATTTCTTATTATCTAGGCAATTTTCTCAAAATCGAATGGCATAGTTTTCTGTGCTGATGCTTCCATTAATTGAAATTCATATTAGTTGAATCAGAATAACTAATTCTTAAGTATTGTTTAATGACTCGAACTAATGAGTTTAAGTATTGAGAAATAGGGAGCCCACATGCATGTAGTTATTGTACGTCGTATATATACTCTCGTGAAGGTAATCATCAAGCGAATGTTTGAAAATTACTCCTATATAGTTTTAATGAGTCTAGTGGTTTATGTAAAATATTCATAAGCGCCTATATTCTGTTCGGTATAGTTATACTACATCTACTTTATTTAGACATAAAATTAAATAACAAAAAAAGACAGATGTATATAACAAAAATTCAAGAAAACAATGAATATGAGAACTACAACTATCATTTTATTTCTACATCTTTTTAAGGGTACATTTCTCTCCTATTCAGAGTTTCCGGAGAATGACTTATCAAGCAAACTAGAATTTTCAGGACTATATAACCTTGATGAGTACAACAAAAGCCGTCATCGACTCAAATTTCCAGATGCTGTCTTCTATGGAATGTTGAGACCACAATAGCGAAATATAGGTCCAATTGTCATCCTCGTCCCTCCAAGATGCTGTGTTCAATCGATCTGAAAATTTTATTTGCAAGTATTAGACATTGTTGGAGGTGGGTATTTTTTTTAATTTACTTTTACTTTTTCTTGTCCTTCGTATCAAGTAGTTGAAATATCAAAGATACTCTGAAAAACACATGCTTTTTGTTGAATAAAGCCCTTTTTTGTAAGAGCTACCAGAAATCAACAGAACAATATTTCTTGAAAGAAAAAGAAAATACCCACGGCAAACCGTGTCAAGTATATATGAAAAACTTTTCAGCTTGATCGGACGTACTACGTCGGAGAAAGGGAGGCGTTACTGCACTTGTTTTATGAAAAAATTGTTTTGAGAAAAATGCGAAACCATGTACAGCTTTCCTTTTTTTAATATATAAATTTGTTAACGTTTTTAAAAACAATTTTCGAATCTCAAAGTGTACTTAGTAGATAAATACTACTTGAAACTATACAATAGCCACAAAAAATAAAAATTTTGAGACAAAGAATGAGAGGAGTGTCCGTAAGCAATTCGAAAGATTATTTTTTAACAACTAGTTATCTCAATTCTTTGGTTGAGAAATCTGAAAGCAAGGAACACCTATACATGAATGGCAAAGAATCGTAAAATATTTTCATAATCAATCTTTTCTTTACTCTCTGTTTTTAATAAATATTTGTTTTTGCATGTTGACGTTCGTCGTTTCGAAACCCATTCATCTTCTTTTACACTAGGAGTATTTGAATAGCTCAATATCTTTTCAATCTGCCATTTTATCTCTTGCTCTATGCGATATGTGGGTGGATGTGGATCTTAAAGCTGAGTTCACATCCACCCACACTACACCCCTTCCTTAAGTGTACGATGAGGTTTCATCTACTTTGTATGGCAGTATTCATGAGCAACGAAGTTTTCTTTTGTACAAAAAATGTCTGACAATGCCATTGTGTAGTCAGTTGAGGCAATTCAGTCTAGCAGCGAGGAAAACATCATGCTTAACTAAATAGGCAACCTGTCATCAAATAGTCCAAAAGTGACTAAGAAAGCATAGGTGCATTGTTTGACGATTCAGCATCATAGTATATCAAAAATAGTGCCAAAATATTCGCCTCACCGAGGCATATCTCGCTCTATATCTTCTCCAGAACGGCAGGACGTAAAAAAGCCAACGAGCCTGTCTTTTATCTGATGTGATCTCGTTCTCTTCTTTCTGAAAATATTGTAGGCTTATTACAAGCTAGACATATTGGCTTGATTTAATATCGCTAAAAACTTACAACAGATAGTTTTCTGATATCCGTGAACCATAGTAGTCATTCATTCACATTAACAACTTTTCTCCTGTCTTTTTCTAACAAACGTCTTTAAGCAGGCTTCTTGCATATCAATTATGTTTTGTTTCATGCGAAGAGCAAATCGACAGAAATGATTAATGTCTGCTCCAAAATATTGTGACAGTTATTGTCGTCGTTGAGCCACCAAAGTCAAATCAATGACCAGCTCATGCCATCGTTGCGTTTGAGCCTCACTTTTTACACTGTTCCCAATAGAATCGGTTATTGTGTGCCACACATAAGAACTCTTAGGAAAACCGGTTTCAAAGCGCCGTGTTCGTTTGACTAAATTTTTCCAATAGATCATTGCTTCGTCTTGTTTACATGGCCGATTACCTAAAAACTGTAACTCACTATAATATATCCTAGTCGTAGTCAATTTTTTTGCAACTCGTTTGGATTTCGTTGTTGGATTGGATATAAATGTTCCACAGTAAAAAGAGTGATAAAATTTAAACCAATCACGCAAGAATTTTGTTGGATCTTTCACTATATCATTTGGAAGAATGAACACTGCATCATTAATATCATTCGTCGGCGTAAATGGGGCCAGATTTTGCCACGTAATGTTAGAATACTTAAGTAGCCATCGGCTCATTGGTAAAAGTACTTCAGCCGTCAGGTCAGCATCTCTGCCACGATTCTTATAGTCTATTGTTTCCATTTGCAAGTCATTTTCATTGTTATACATAGAAATTTTTTTGTTTATCATATTTTCAACTTCGATTTAAAATATGTTTATAGGTAATTTATCAGCAAGAATCTGCTTCTGCACTATTTCTCGATAAAGGATTTCGAGTTTTTGGACTTGTTCGGATGACAGTGCAATCCACTCAATGCAAGGTTTTGACGGGCCTCGTCTAGTATGCTTAAGCTAAACATAGTATGTCGCATGGTTTAAACCGAGAGAAACATTTAAAACTTACAATTTCTTGAACAATCTTGTCATATGCTAAGTTGAACTCGTGTTCCGATTCAGGAATTCGAAAATACAGTTTCCCAGCAACGATAAAACTCAGTCATCCTTCTATCTGGTATTTCTGCGTTACTTTAACTGGAATAACTGTCTTACGCTTGTCAGATGCATAACGAGCTTTCCTCTGACAATTAGCACTATGGAAATAAGCTTTACTTACACAGAGGACAATGCAATCACTATTATCTATTGCAGTAGCCATGGTTGTAGAAAAATATTTTCTCTACAAACTTTGTACCAAAATTCTTTTTCTGTCACTTAAAATAAAAAAGTTATGAGCATTATAAGACAAAAATTCAATTTTGTGTGCCGATTCACCCCTTCTTACTGTATGCATGAGAGAAAAGAAAAAAGTGCGTCCGTCACTCTTGTACGTTGAGAAAGAAAAAGAAAAGAAATCTCCGGGTCACAATGAACAAACATAATGAATCGAGGAACTATACGGGGGTCTTCTGAGCGACTAAAATATCAAACGTAATTAAAAAGGTATCACTTAAATAGAGGTCTCGACTTCTGTGTCAAGAACTAAATTTATGTTAAAGCAAAGTAATGATAGTGATGACACTAAAATTTTAACGGCGGGCGGGAGGAGGGGGCTCAACTAGTGGAACTCTATACTGACGGTAGGGCTCATAGCAGAGCTTAGCTGGCGCGACCTTGTTCGGTGGATATTCAAACTTTCAATGTAAGGGTTGAATTCCCCCTAGCCACATCTTTGTTGCGCCACAGAGTACTGCTCGCCAAATCGCGAAATTTTGTAAAGAAATGATTAGAAGACTGTGCACTCATTATCGGTTTTAACGGAGACCGTTTCGTTACATCGAACACGTTAGCCGTTCGTTGAACAAAGATCGCCGAGATCTAATTGGACAACACAATGATTTGGTAGAAAAGTTTTCGTAGGTGAATGGCAATGGATTTTAGTAGAAATCGAGGAATGGTGGCCTGCATTAGTCGTTTTGAGACAGATGGGAGCACCGAATCGAGCTAAAAAGGTGTCCATTCGACAGAGCTCGTCGATTTCTATATGAAATTATTATTGGTATAGTTGGAACTGGCAGGAAAGCGAATCGTAACGGGTTTAGTCTTTTGTTTTGCTTTTTTCCTAGTTCTTTTTGTAGTAAAATGGGGTTTCTGTTGCGATGAACGAGTTTTTTTCGGTAGAAAAATAGTGGAATCGATAGATCTCAGTGTTCTTCTTGGAAGCGGCATTGATGTAGTTGTAATTAGATGACCAACGAATCGTGCTGGGAAATCCTCGAATCCTGACCTAAGATCTCCTACATCTTTAAAACAGCTTTTTTAATGTGTAAGTCCAATATCTATTAGCTTAAAGTCTATCTTTAAATTACGAAATTTTGCAAGACCCAATCAAGCTCAAAGGACCACAAGCAATAGCAAGAAGGACATGAGAATAATAGACACTTCCATGTAATTCAAACCGAACAAAACCCATCTGTAGACCGATCAGTATAATGTGCGTTATACCAGTAGTATTTTAACGAAAGTAGTGTGTCATGATGTATTATATCGAAATGGATAAATATTTTTGAAATATGGTAAAACTGACATAATTAAATCGATTTCGATGTACACTGATACTGTGGATACATCTGAGTCGTCTGTACCAGTCCCAAATCGGTCTCCACTCTGAGATGAATTTTTTCATTATAGATAGCAATGGAAAATTTTTTATTAGTAAAATAAATTTTGAAATTATTTTTTTCTTGATAACTTGGAATTCTTCTTAATAATAAATTCAAGTTTGAGTAGAAAACACTCTCTGTAATCGTTTATCGTTGGAACCAAATTCGTAAGCTCTACCGTCGGTATATCAGCGGTAATGTGGATAAACAAGTGATATGCAATGGGCCTAATCAAAATTGGTTATCCGATTATTGTGTAACAATGTCAAAATTCTAATCATTTATAATTCGAATTTTGTTTCACAATAGTCATGATGAAAAACCTCATATGCTGAGTTTCAGTTCAAAATTGATTAATTTTTTTGATACTGTTGTACTGATTTGTGAACAATAAAACGAAATAAAAACAAATAAAGCTTTTTTTCGCGTAAGAAAAAGAACAAATATGTCAATTAAAATCAGATCCATGTCGTCTTTTTTTTGATGAAAACCAATGGTAGTCGGCAGTCTTGTTTAGTTACTCTCAATAACTATAATTTATAAAAGCTATCGATTTCAAACGGATTCACAATACCGAAAGTTTATCAGTTACCATAAAAAACATTTATTAGGATTCTTTCAATATATGCATAGCTTTTGTAGTTAACATATATTGATATTGATGTGTTTATTTATCCTACATTCTATTTTCGTTTGCAGATATTTTGTGTAAGATGCAACGTGCATATGCATTAGATACTCTACATTTTATTGAGAATTTTTGTAACACTTGTATTCAGCTTGGACAGGGTTAGAAAAATATTCTTTGAGCTTTTGAGAAAATTGCTCATCAATTTAGACTTTCTCGATTTGATACAATTCATAAATATAAAGTTGTTGCTTGACTTTTCAATATCTTCGTCAGATATGCACCCAAAAAATTAATATTCACATTTTGTGATTAATCATCATAACTAATACTGAAAGAGTTAAATTAACTGATGTTTTTTTATTGAGATTTGTTCTACCAAGTGATTCAAGCGTAAGAATGAATTAATAATATTAAATTGTATACTCAATTGTAAAATAAATTATTTATTTTGTACTTACGGAATGAGAAGGGAGCGAGGTGTTAGCGACAAAGGACTGTCAGTTGACAACGGTTAACCGCCAATTGACTGTGGTTGACCGTGGTGTACTGAACTGTTAACCATCAGTTTTTTTGCCGAGTAGAGCGACACGGGAACTTTTCTGTCGTGTTTTACATGGTAATTATATCTTTCAATTCTACGCTACGTATTAATCGAGTTCAATCTTTAGTACCTACTAATATGTTTAAATCTCTTATTATCCGTTAATCAATTTTAATCCTATATATCGAATATCATTTCTTTTTTCAAAGTTCGAACGCGATACTCCAATTTTTTGTCATTTTGTTTTTGGATTGCTCATGTTAAGAAATCATGAAATTGTCATCAAGCTAAGCTCTGACAAATTAAGTAAATTTGAAATTGATATCATAAATTGTTTCAAATTAAGATGGTACAATTAGATCAAAAATCGATTTTAATTGATTAAAATATTTTAGTTGATTTTAATCGGATTTTCCTAGAAAAACTAGAGTATTCGTAATAAAAATGAGATTTTTAGATCGGTAATAAAATATAATCATGGTTTTCGTAGAAATATTTTTCATGGAGTACAACAAGGAATTGCTAGAAAATGTCATGCATAAAACTATTCAAATTCGTGTAATAGCAAACCAAACCAAGCCATTAAAATAGTAAGAGACCATCTTTTTTACCAGCTCAATTCATATCTCGAAACAAAGATTATTGAATGTCTTTAATTGACAGTAATCATTTCAATATACTGTTTATTTTCTTTTTCACAATTCAATATTTTTTCTTTTATGTTGTTACAACCTGCAATCAAAATTAATTTTATCATATAAACACAGTTATCTATCATCAAAAAAAAAAAAATCTTCAGGAAAGCACATTAATCATCGTAAAGTTTCTTGAAAGACTAAAATTCAAATGTATACTATGGATTAATTTCTCCAATTAAATGAAAACCTTGAGAACTACATTCATCAACTCTATATCTCTTCGTTGGAATTGAATATCGTTCTTGACATTAAGTTTCAGAATCATTAAATTAATTATTTTTTATTACAAATTAAAACTAATAGTTCAATTTAAAATACATGTTTAGAAGAATCCATTAATGAATATAAAATCAATAGTAATTTAAATTTGAAAAAATCAAAGTTAAAGTAAAGATCTTTTCATGAAAGAAGAGCTTTTTTGAAGAAAAAAGTGACTTTTTTCTATAAAGTTTAATCAAAGGTACTTGGGATCAAGGAATCGAAATCTCAAATTAGTTTTTCGAAATTTCAGATTTGACTTTTTTACCAAAATTTTCTTTTATGAAAAACTAATTTTTTTAGTTGAAAAGTCAAACTCAAAATTTTGAAAAATCAATTTCAGATTTGGATTCCTTGATCTCAAGAACCTTCGATCAAACTTTATGAGAAAAGAATTGCTTTTTTTTTTAAACCTCTCCTTTAGTGAAAAAATTGCTACTTTGACTTTAAAATAAAGTTAAAGCACCACTCTCCTGACTGTCATTGCTAATCACAGAAGGATTATTTTATTCTATCTATCTTGGACCACACTTCATCATTCTTTTATTTAATTCTCCAAAAATACAATAAAGAATTCATTTTTTTTATAACAAGACGTTATTGGCATACGGTCTGTGATAGTGTCTGAATAGAGATTGTCACGGTTCATGAGTAGGGAGAGGGGAACGAGGATCCATAAATTGTTACTTCTATAACTTAACATCCATTTTAGATCGTATCTCACGGTACTGAGAATATTTTCTTGTATGCACGTATTTCAAATTATTTTCTAATGAAAAAAATAATTGTTCAATTTTCTCTGACATATAAGCATAGTAGCTTATAGAAATATCTGAGATTATAATTTAGAATATGAGTTTATTTTAATAAATATGTCGAAATAATCAAAACAAAATATTGATCACGAGTCTTAACGTTTTTCTCCGGGATGGAGACTATGGCAGTTGATCTCAATAGTTGTCTAAAACAAGAGAAAAATATTGTTATTAGAGTTACGTTTTCTTCTATCATCCTAAGTGAAAATATCTAAATAAAGTTTTCTGAAAGAATAGCTTTTATAATCAGTTCTATGTCGCTGTTTCAAAACTATTAAGCATCAAACTAATCAAGAAGTCTGCGAAATTTATTACATGATCTTCAAACATCATCCTAGCGTTGCTTTTATAATTACGATCAACGTATGAATATTTTCTTTACGCATGATTTACTTTCATTTTAGTCTTATTGACTCTTAATATCCTTAAATCATATTTATTTTCTATTGAAATCTATATAATTAGATACAACATGTAGATAATAAAAGAAAAAAAGGTGATAATCCAATTTCGAAGATACGACAAATATGCTCCGCAAGAAAGGAAAAAAAGAAAACCAATATGTATATTACCTTCAAGGCTTTCACGTAGAACAAAAGAAAAAAATGATGATCATTCTGTTGAAAAAAATTACGTCTTTCGAAAGATATAAAAGACTATGATTACTATGTATGATTGTAAATTTGAGCTTATTTCATATTAATATCTATACTCTTCAGTTTCAAATATGTATGAAGCCGCACTACCCGTTGCTCCTGATGATTCTCATCATCGTCGGTAAATAAATAAAATTCAAATATTTTATTGCATTTATTTCTATTATCTATTGAATTGAAGAGGCTTTGGTGATGGTCCACTATTATATGTATGTTGTACGTTGTTAATTCTTTTCGTAGTAGCTGTTACTATTGTTCTTTTGTTGATACCAGTTTATTTGCCAAAAGAAGCTTTTCCATCGAGTATGGATAATATTTGTAAGATTTGATTTTTTTTAAATTAATTTAATATTTATCAGGTGAATTTAATGAAACTTGTTATGTTCTTGGCGATTACCGTGGTTCATTAGGTAATGATCGTCAATTAGATGCAACAGAATGTCAATATCTTGCACAAACGGTAAAAATACGACATGTTTGAAAATAAAACTGTCTATAAATTCATCTGTTTTATAGCTTGAACAAAAACTTGGCTTACCAGCTGGTACAATTACTATCGATGAAGCTGCAATTGCAACAACACCAAGAAAACGTAAACGTCGAGGATAGTGTGTATTTTGGCAAAAAAATGAATGAAGAAAAACCAAATATAGTAAATATTTTGATTTAATTTTTACAGTGATCCTGCACGATTTCGTCGTGGTGAAACATCTCGTGGTTTCCAACGACTTTATATAATTTTACGACTAGAAATTGTTAAATGCTTTCAATGTAAAGTACATCTTAAACCTTTCATCATAATTTTAACATTGTCCTTTGAGGGAAATACATTTACACAACCTATTGCTATAAATATGTGTACTACACGTATGTTAAGCATATAATATGTACAATAATGAATTAAATCTATATCATTTTATTACTTTTAGCTTTTACAATTCCGGCACTCATGCCTCCTATTACTGTTACAGTTCAAACAACTACAAGTGCGAACGAAAATATAGGTGTTACTTCAAATGCAATCGGTTAATTTTATCAAAAAGATATTTATTGTACATATATTTTTTTATCTTGAGCATGTAATAAGAGATTTATTATTATTCAAATTGATTATGATATTTGCATATATATTGTAAGTTCGATTATAAATGAAATATATATTACTGACGATAGTACAGTCTACTATTATTTATCATTATATGTCTTATCGAAAAGAAACATAGAAAGAGATTCAAACGATTTGTTATTTTTGTTTTCTTTTAATTCAACAGTAAAATCTAATTCTCTCTACTTTTAAGTTACTTGATCGATGTACACCTTGATTTGTATGAATGACTAATATATTACTCATATTCATTTTTATGTCAAATAACTTTCAATACATTACAGTGTATTAAATGATGATAAATGATTCATAAATAGAAAAAAAACACAATTATTACTTTGGATTATAAACAAAGGAGAAACATACAATAAAAATTATCGAACAGCAAAATTTTTTTTAAGTAAAGTAACGCTTCATATTGCACATGAAGAAATGTATACAGAGTATTCCAAAAGTTCATGTAAATACGTCTCTTATACATTTTAAACTATTTGGTTACTTTGGTTTTTTAATAATATGATAATATATTTATATATTTTAAAATCTTTAAAAAAATACACCAATAAGTTTTTTTTTTTTTTCGAATTAATTTATTTCCGTTAGAGGTCACTCATGAACGATGTTCGAGTAAGAATTGCATTTTTCGATCTCCTCTTTGACATTCAGTAGGGCCCGTTGGTCCAAAATTTTCGGATCCAATTAACAGAAAACGCTGTTAGCGCAATCCCTTGCGGGATTAAAAATGTGAAACACGATGGATCTATTGTTACTAATTAAATGGAAGTCCTTTTGTTCCATCTCGATACGACACATTTGTAGCTGACGGTATATCTGATGCTTTACAACTACACTTTCTCTGTCACGGTCTGTGATGGGTACCTGAATTCTCTGTCACGGTCTGCGATGGGTACCTGGCTTTTCTGTCACGGTTTATGATGGGGGAATTACCTGTCTGTAACGGTCTGTGGTGGGGG